ATTGGACCACCACCAATTTTAAAATTTTCTTTAAAATCCATAACTACAACACAAGATGTTGTAGTTACTAATTCAAGGGAGTTTTTATAAAGTTTTTGTTGTTGATTTTTAAAATATAAATGTTTATTATAAAAATTAATTTCATTTTGTAAGTGAGTAATAAGGGAAGTATTATTTGGATTGGTTTGTTGTAATTTTTTTTTGAATTTTTCTCCTTCAATACAAATTGAACACATATCAGTTTTTTTTTGTGCTTTTTTGAAATTTTTAGGACAAAGTTTGTAAAATTTACTAAGACTTAATCTTAGATTTGAATTTTGGGATTTTAATTCATTATAAATTGTTTTTTTTGGTTTTTCTAAATAATATATTAAAGATGGATTAAAATCAAGATTGGTATTTTCTAAAGAAAAAGGAAGTGTTATAGGTTGACAAAAAGAAGTTGATAATCTTGAATTTTGTAAAAGAAAATCAATAATAAGTTCAAATGTTTCTTTATTGATTTTAAGTTTTAAAGTAGGAATATGTCTTTGATAATCATTTAAATTAAAAAATTTATTATTGAATTTTTTAAGAGCAGTAGAAAATTGTTTATTGCTAAAGTTAAAACCAATATTTTTTAATTCAGATCTATTATATAAACCAACAATTAATAATAAAATGTTAGATTTATATTTTATAGAAACAGAGTTATGCATGGTTTTAATATTATAAAGAATTTGTGTAGTTTTTAAATTATTTTGTGAATTGGGAAAAAAAGATTTTCTAATATAAAAATAATTTGCAAAATAATTGTATAATTGTTCTGGTTGATTACCAGATAATTGTAAAACAGTATCATGTAAAATTGAAGTAATAAGACTTTTTTGTAATTTTGAATAAGAATAAAAGGTAAAGGATAAGGATTATGAGATTTCAATAAGGAAGAAAGGTTTTTTCTAAGATTTAAAGAAGGCATTATGAATATTGAAATTTCAAAACAAGATGTAAAAAAATATTTATACAGTAATTTTTAAATCCGAAAATCAGTGACAATTTTATTATATAATTTTCTCAACAACTAATGATTTGATTTTAATAAACTTTTTTTATATGAATGCCCAAGATCTAGGCTTTCAAACAAATACTCTTTTATTAAATAAAATTACGTAGTAATGAAGATATTGGCATTTAATTTATTGTTAAAAATTATCGCTCTTTCAAAATTATTGAGTCACCTGAGAAAATGATCAGCAAAAATAACCAGAATCACGAGAAAATTGTGAAAACACTATTGGTGTATATATGAAAGTTTGCTCGGTTCGCTTGTTTACCCATTTACATTAGCCTTAGAAAGCCTGGCTGTCCTATATGTATGTTTTGTATACTGTTTATAAAAAAAATATTGACTTTTACTAAAAGAAGGTTTCGCGATTACAGTGCGATTACAGTGTGATTACAGTGCGATTACAAATGATTACAGTGTGATTACAAATGATTACAGTACGATTACTTGTGTGTTGGCTCTGCTGGAAGAATGTTTGCAAATAAAATAATATATTTTGTTTGTAGAAATGGTTCAGAGTCTTAGTGATGACTTGCGTTGGAGAGTGGTATACCTTCATCTCGATGGTTATTCTAAGAAAAAAATTAGTTCCTATTTATATATTAGTCGTAGTACAGTAAATAGGATTCTATGTCTATATCGACGTTGGGGTTGTGTCAAGGATCCTTTCAAAGGAACGCGAGGGCGTCGAAAGATATTCCATCACAATGATATGAAGGTAAGAATGAAATTTTGGCTAGACTTTTGCTTATAACAAACACATACATACATTTTCAGGTACTGAAGTCATTGGTTAATGAGAAAGTTGATTGGTATTTGGATGAATTGGTTGTTGAAATGGAGCGAAGAAGTGGAAAAAAAGTTTCTGTACCAACTTTGTGGCGAGCTTTGAAGTTTTGTGGAATTACACGGAAGAAGGTTTGTGATAAACTATAATAATAATGGTAATATATAGAATGTTGATAATTCTTATTATAATTTGTAGTTATGTAAGGCTGCGATGGAGAGAAATGAATTACTACGCAGTGCCTTTATCGCCAAAATCGGCGAATCATATTTCCCGGAACAACTCATATTCATTGATGAGAGTTCCAAAGATGAACGAAGTTTATCGAGAGCTTATGGTTATTCCTTCATCAATAGACGTGCTGAAAAAAAGGTGGTATTTGTTCGTGGAAAACGTTATACTGTTTTGCTAGCATTAACACAAGAGGGTATTGTTGCCATTGATGTTATGGAGGGAAGTTGTAGCAAAATGAGATTCAGGGAGTTTATACTATCGAAAGTGGTAAGTACAATCTGTAGTGTGAATTTTACAGGAAGCACTAATAAGTTTGTATAATATAAATAGATCCCATGTATGAATCGATATCCTGATCCCAACAGTGTGTTGGTACTTGATAATGCAATGATTCACTATGATGAAGAATGGATCTCCATTGTCGAAGGATTAGGTGGGCATGTGTTATTTCTTCCTCCATACTCACCAGATTTCAATCCCATAGAAACGGCCTTTTCAGTTATAAAAGCATGGCTCAAACGATACAGAGATTTTGCTCTAAACCGTGATGACCCAATCTACTCTATATTGATCGCATGCAGTCATATAACACCAGAAATGGCAAAATCGTTTTTCAACTCATCGATTTATTTTTAATAAAAAACACAAATTATCTTTTTATATTGTTACGGGCTATCTGGCGAGTCGGTCGCTAACTCGCGTCGCTTATCGTCTGGTTCAGTTTACAATAAGGTAAGTCTTTAACTCTTGAGGCGTGTTTCCGATTTGGCCGTTCTCTCACTTTAACTTCTCTACCGACTAGCCTAGAACCCTCTCTATGCCAATTCCCTTAGGCAATCCTCGGTTCTCTCTTGTAGTCGCGTAGCCCAAGTTACAAGTCTGCTCTGGCACACACTAAACACAAGGTAAGAGTTTGTTTACAACGTTACTTTATTGTAAATGCTAGTGGTATAAACTTAGACTCTAAAACTCTAAACTAATTACATGCTATCGGGTTGCGCATGTATTTATACATGCGTCTGTTATTTATATGTTTACATCTGATCGCTATTCTACTTTACTCTAGAAATTTCCGTCACTAAACTTTCCCACACCTATTTTCCCACCTTAATTTCCCCACAATCCGCGACAAGATGACGTAACGTGATATCGCCTTGTGCGCCTATGCCGATTTTACCCACAACAATATTGATACTGCTATTACTGAAAGTGACTTGCCGCCTGTTTCAATGTATGTCTCCACCCAATTTTCGTAACTCCTAATTTCTCAAATTCGACATCACTTAGATCCTTAATGTGAACAACAGCAATGTCTTCCTGAAGAAAGGCTCCCTCAAAGCGTGTATACATTCCCTTACCATATATATCGTCCAACTGTTGAAGGAATTGAGATAGACTTGGAGTTTTGTTCATGATGGGTGGTGAGGTGGATCGTATATTTATGTGTGAGGACGGACAATGGTTTTTTTTCAAAGTCGATGCACCAAAAATGGCATGCATGGGTGGAGTGTTGATATCTGTGAAGCCTCGTACCTGTATATGTGGAGGAAATACTGCATAAGAGATAATTCACAAATATTCTGATTTTTGAAATTAAATAAATAGTTATACCAATTCATGTGCCCAGAGGGTTAGATGCATTGGTGACAGCCGGAGGTGCATATTATCTGAAATATAGCATGGTTGCCTATGTTCAATACAATGGTATTTGTCACGCAAGATTCTAATTCTCTCAGCCTTTTCCTGTTCCATTGAATCGAGTTTTGATATATGCGGGAATTTTGTCTGCCTTACTGATTTCTTGTTTTTTCCTATCGATGATTGCGATGATTGCGATGATGATGCAGACGTATCAGAATCTAGGTTCTGTATAATTAATTAGAAATTAAAATTGCAAGCTACTAAGAATAATTCATTATCTTACAAACCTTTCTTTTAGAGTGACGAGGCTTCTTTCGTGAATGTTTCTTGTTCTTCTCCTTCTTCATATGAGCAATAACCATTGTTTCTTTTTTTGACGCTTTAATACAGTATTTTCCATACTCTTCAAGAAGTTTCTGAAAATCGGAATCATCACAAAGCTGTGTACCAGGACTATTCACAGAGATCTTGTATGATAATGTATAACTTTTTTGCTCAATTGTATCGTCATCCAATAAAGAACGGATTTGACAAAGTATTCTCTCTTGAAAATTTTCAAATTCTTCAAACTCAAGTAATATAAGATTTATCCACTTAGCAGGTATAGTACTACCATCATTAAGTTTAATTAGTAGCTTAAACTTTAAATTCGAAATATTCGTCCCAGTGACAGTGTCAGAAGAATTAGTGTCTAATGTAATAATGTCTATCGGAGTTTCAGTAATTTTTGTGAGTGATTTAATACGTTGATATTTACTGTTACACTTTGAACAAAATGAAAAACTAAATGTGTGGTTAAAGTCAATTCCATAACTATATAAATCGTTCTTTTCTTTTAAGAAGTTAGTTTGAGAAATATCTTGTGTTGGAGTGTAAATACGACTATAACTCCTTCTCTTGGACTTTGATATTGGCTTCCTTTCTCTTTCACAGAGACAATTAAAGACAACACCGCAATATAAGCAAGCTTGACATCCATAACAGTATTGACTATTATATTTTGTTGAATTATTTTCTGTCATTTTGTTTTGTGTAGAGAATGTTACCGTTGATTTATTATAGTAATACAAAATTATTTGATTTTAATTGGCTGATTAGCTATTGTTATACAAAATTTTAAAAGATTTTGATTGGCTAATCTGTGTATTCGTTTTCATGTGAAGTATACTCAAAAAGTACATCAAATCTATAATTTTGAAAAAAGCGATAAATCTCAGAAAATTTAAATCTGAAAATCAGTAACAATTTTATTACGTAATTTTCTCAACAACTAATAATTAGATTTTAATAAACTTTTTTTTATATGAACGTCCAAAACCTAGGCTTTCAAACAAATACTCTTTTTTAAATAAAATTACGTAATGATGAAGATATTGGCATTTAAATTTATTGTTAAAAATTAAATCTCCGAAAATTTAAAATCCGAAAATCAGTGACAATTTTATTATGTAATTTTCTCAACAACTAATAATTGGATTTTAATAAACTTTTTTTCATATGAACGCCCAAGATCTAGGCTTTCAAACAAATATTCTTTTATTAAACAAAATTACGTAATTCTAAAGATATAGCTATTTAAATTAAAAAAATCAAATCTTAGAAAATTAATGGTGAAAATTAAAATTCAATAAAATTAATCATATGATAATCAACATTACAAGATTTGAAATTTAGGGTTATGATTTTAGGGTAATAGATATATACCTTAAATTTGGGTTCACCTTCAAAAATAATTACCCATATAGAAAATTATTTGGTTGATCTCGATCTAAAATTCTTTTTTTTTTTTATATTTACTTATATGACAATTAAAATTTGGATCATTTTAATTTTAAGTTGAGGACATATTGTCCATTATACTTCGGAATAAGATCATTGTGCACAAAAAATTTGATACTAAAGTCTATAACCCACAAGATTATTTATTGGTTCCTTATGAAATATCATTAATCCAAGACAAATATCCAACGAATATAAATGTTATCTATAATCAGCTTAGATCTTGGCTCGAAAAAGCTCAGGAGTATTATATTGCAAGCAGAAATTAATAAAAATTATTTGAAATTTCTTTGACCGTAATGGAAAGTACTGGATACCTGATATTTCCGAGATACCATATATATTTTGGTTTCTGTTCAAATTTACCTGCTTAAGCTACAAGAGTTTTTTTTTTTTTATCGTTCTGCTCTCTAGCTCTTCACAGATTTCAACTGAAGCTTTCTTTGAAGATCCTTCTCAATTTCCTGTAAAATTGTTCAATTTGTTAAATCAAAAGTCCATGACATCAGTCAACCATGCTTTTTTGGCTCTAAATCCATTTTGCATATCGATCGAAATAGCATGTTTTGTTTACTGCTGTTACAAATTTTATAATATTATATCCGGGTCCAAAAATAAGTGAATGTCATCGCTTATTGTTTGAAAAAAACAGTGAAAATGTGTTCTGGATCTCTGTAATAGCAAGGGCTGCATTTTCAAAAGTTGCAGTTCCTATCCTAATAAGCAAACATTGTATCTTTGCATTAGTGGTATGCAACATATTCCTAAATCCAAAATCCAAGAGTATTACATGTGATGAGAAAAATATGAAACATCATATAGAGAAGTATCTTATATATATTTGCTATATTCTTTATTTCTTTTATTGTATAATATTTTAAACAATACTAATGTTTTAATAAATATAAAATGATTTTAATAATGGTAATCCATCATATAATTCGTTTAAAATGATTATAAATAATGAATCAAAGGTTCAACACTCCTCTGATTTATAGCAAAATACTCTCGAATCAGAATCTAAGGTATTTAAGACTTCTTCTCAAGTTCTTTCACAAGAAGAAATGGATGATTTGTTTGGAGTTAATAATTATACTGATTAGTTTAGTTTTAATTAGTTATATTTATTGCATATAATTTAGTGATATATATTTCTTTTTAATTAATAAAATTCAAATTACATTATAAAAAATAATATTTGATATTAATATTAATTTACTAAATATGAGTAATAAGTATACAGTATAATAGTATTGATATTGATACAATTAGAAAAAATCAATTAGAATTATTATTCGATATTAAATAATACTAATTAATCTGATATCTATCAATTATTACCGATTACTATTTTAATCGATAGTCATCATCAGGGGGGATTTAAATCGATTACTATTCAATAACTGATAAAAATCAATAGTAATCTCTATACAAATATTGATGATAATAGTAATTTGTTTTTATCTTCTTTGAGATATTTCCAATAATTGTAGAAATCCAGCCAGTTGTTGATTAGATCTTTTATTCTTATAACAAGATTTACAGCTTATTACAAATTTGTAAACATCCTTGTTTATTTTTGACCAATAATAGTACCTTTTCAATGCTTCATAGATTTTGTTAACTCCCAGGTGCCCAGTGATTTTAATGTTATAGTGTTCTTGCAAGAGTTATATACAAAGTCTTTTATCCTTTGGTATTGCTAATTATTGTTTTTTCTTAAAATATATTTAATTGTTTCTCAATTTATAGTATTTTGCCTTAATTCATTGTTTTTCATTATGTAATTTAGGATCCTTAAGAATATTCAAGATTGATATGAAGTATTTATTCTTGATATATAATCTTTCCAAATTCTTTAAGTCAGCAAAAGTGTTGATGGTAATAATATTATTGACAGATGAAATTCTTGAAAGTATATTAGTAATGACATTTGTTTTTTCTAGTTGATATTTAACTTCAAAATTGTTAGCTTGTAAAATCACCAGCTAGTATAATTGCCTTCTTGACAATATTGTTTGTGATTTGATATACTCCAGTGAACATGGTCAATAATCACCTAGAATTTTTGTCTCTTCAAATATGTTCTTCAAAATTTGATAGCATATATGATTGCTAGCAATTTTTTTTTATATACAGAGTAGTTTTGCTCAGCTGATAATAATTTCTAAACTTATAAACAACTGGTTGTTTCTCTTTTTTATAATCCTATGAAAGTACAACTTTGATGATAAAGTTAAAGACATCTGTAGTAATGATGAAAGATTTGATAATATTAGGCAAAATTAGAATTGATATAAAGATTAAAAGTTGTTTCAAATTATCAAATACAGCTTATTAAGCAGCATCCTAGTAGTAAGCAGAATCCTTGTGCAATAGTTGAGTAAGAAATAAAGTAGTGGCAAAGAAACTTTGACAAATTTCCTATAGTAACTGGTGAGATCCAAAAATAAGTAAAGTTCAGATACATCCTTTTATATTGACCATTTCTTGATAACATTTATTTTCTTTTGATTGACAAATATTTCTTCCCTAGAGATATAATGTTCCAGATATTCTATACATTCCTAAAACAATTTACATTTTGACAGTTTGACATATGGGTAATTATTTTTGAAGGCAGCAAAAATGCTAGATATGATTTTTTCCGTCCCTACTTTTAAACAATACATACACAATGTAAATTTTAGGATCACAATTATAGTGACCGAAAAATCTCTGTCCGCCTTCGAAAAGAATTACCCATATAAATAGTGTTCTCTCAAGATATTTAATATATAATATATTGTATATTAAAGATAAGTTCCTAAATTATTTAATATATAAAATTTTGCAGATTAGTTATGTTTCTTTTGAAGAGATATAATTATTTATTTATTATTTTAATAGAAATATAATTTAAAAATATTTGGATCAAAAAATTGAACTATATGTAGAAGACACTTGATATCATATCTCGATAGTAATTATTAATAAAGATTTGCATCAATGCATGTTTATCTTAAAAAAAAAAAAAAAAAAAAAATATTTGGATCAAGTGGTCTAAATTGCAAAAAATCTTTATATGTAGTTTTTTTTTGATCTTATATTTAAAAAAAAACTTTTTAATAGTGAAGGATATTTAAATTATATCCTTACCTTTAATTTAGAAACCCATTTTTAGCATATATGTTGATGATATTTCTTCTTGGTTTTGCTATAGATGAGAATATTATTCAAGTATACAATCACAAACTGATTCAAAAATTTCTTGAAAATGTTATTTATTAGTGTTATAAAAGTAACAGAAGCATTAGTAAGTTCAAATAGTATAATCAAGAACTTATAATATCTATAGCATGTCCTGAAAGCTATTTTATATATATCCTTTTCCTTAATTCTTATTTGATAATATCTAGAGTAAAAATTAATTTGATAAAGTAGTAAGCTTCAACAAGATGATCCATCAACTTCTCAATTTTTAATAAAGGATACTTATTTTTAATAATAATTTTGTTGAATACATGATAGTCTATACAAAGTCTTAATGTTTCAATCTTTTTGTATACAAAAAATACAGGTGCTTCAAAAGGTAAGATGTTTAGACAGATATGTTTCTTTTATAAGAGTTCCTCAAGTTGTTGCTTCAGTTCATTGGTTTCCTTATAGAATAGTTGGTAGATAAGGTAAGACAGTGATTTAGTTTTTGACACAAGTTTAATGATATAATCAATTTTTCTTTGGATAACAGTTCCTTTAGCAGATTAGTCAGTAAAACATCAGCAAATTTCTTTAATAATTTTTGAATGGCAGGTGAATATAACAGTTGGTTATTTTCCTTAGTGATAGCAATACAAATAGCAAACAATGCAATAGTGTTATATATCTTGACAAGTTGTTGATATACAGTAAGATGAAGATAAAGTTATAGCTTAGATATTATGAAACAGTAAAGTCAGCTTTTACAATAATGGTTTTTGGTTCATATTGGAAGATAAGCTTGTTGCTCCTTCAATCAATAGATAGATTGATATGATACAACCAAAATTTCTTCAAAATAGCATCATATCATTGCAGTTTAATAACTTGAGCAGATAATTCTATTGTGTAATAAATTCCTATCCTCAGATTCTTGATATGAGCAATCTTGTTTGTTTTCTGTTTGTATCCATCTGTATAACAAGTTTATTCTTCTGAATGATGAGTTGATGACATTTGATAAATTTCTTATCCATGAAATTCCAGGAAGCTTTAGAGTCAAATA